TATTTATTATATTAATAAAGGAGTATAATTAACTAAGTATAAAACTTATCCTTCGCAAACCCTTTGAAACTGTTATAAATTATCTGTGACCCTTTGCATTCGTGTAATTCCCTTTTGATAGTTAATTTATTATATGATATTGTATTGATTCGCTATATTAACTTGGAGTCTCTGAATCGTAATCTCTGAAATATCTTTGAGTTATCTTTGCGTTTATTTTGTATTTATCATCATGTGATTATTATTGAGAATAATTCTTTGATATTATTGTGAATCCTCACCCGTGATTTCTTGAGTAATTGTCTTAGTTTTATTTACCCTTTTGAGATTTTATTTAAAGCTACGAAACTCAATGTAATAATATGTAATGTACTTTATATCAGAATAAAAATATTTTTGATAACCTTTGAGCTAAGATAATTTTTTTTATACTTAAATTATTAAATATTTCATCTGCGTTACTGTACTACTTTATGTGCTAAATATAATGCTATACCATACAAATACAAAATACTTGTCTACTTACTCAGTTCTATTATAAAGATTTCTTGTCTCTACTCTTCAGCCAGAGTATTTTTCTCATCTACTATCACATTTTTTGATAATTCTCTTAAAAATTATAAAAATTAGTCAATATCAAGCTTAGTTATCAAGGTTTTACTAGAAAAATTAACACTTCTGCTTCATCTTTCAATATAAATAATTTGCAATTGCTAAACATCCCTTATGATATAAAAGGTACTTTGCAGAAACCTACCAATTTTGAAAAATATGATATACATATTATTAACATGTAACAATCATGTATTTAACATATAGTAAAGAATGTAATGTGAATACAAGATATTTAAAAGATGTATAAAATATAGTTGCAATATCTTGTACATATACTAAAATTACAATTAAACTATAATTTTTATAAATGTATTAAACATATCAATGATAGACAGCATTTATATATTCAGCATATTGTAATATAAGACCTTAAGATTACGATTTATATAATATAAGAATGCAAACTTTCTATATTATTAAAATACAGTCAATATATGAATAAAATATATTTGTAATATGCTTAATATATGATGAAATACGAACTTAAAATTTATAATATTCTGATAAAGTAACATAAATTTATTGAATATGAATATTTGCTTTTGAATATGAAGGAAATTGATAATAAAAATTGTTTTTCCAAAGTGAAGGAATAGTGAATATTAAGCAAAGTATTTTATTTTTTTTCAAATGTCATATTATTTAATGATGAAATAAAATATAAAAATGTTGACTTTTCGTATTTCATATTATTTCAAGAATTCAAGAGTTCTCAAACTGGTAATAATCTAACTACTCTGAGTTTTATTGATATTTTTAAGTCGATTATATATTCATCAAGTTTCTTTATTACAGATTACGTATTCTTTCTATCTTTTATTACTTTGATTGTAGCTTTGACAGCTTATCAAATAAAAATATCAAGCTTGACAATAATTAATCTATCTTTTTTTAACTTTTGTTATTCAGTTGCTTTTAAATGTAACTGGAGTAATTATCACCAAATATCAGCAGTTATGAATTTGTCTAATTCGTTATATAGTTCTTTTGCACTATTTTTAATTAAATGTTCAGTTAATTTTAATAATAAATTATTAGTTACATATATTACTAATACAAATATTTCATACAATAATATAAATTTGTTTGCAAGATTTACGACATTTGTATGAAATTTGTACTGGTATGTATTATACCAACTGCCTAAGTCTTTAGTTAGCATTCCAATTTTATGATCAGTTCTTGCATAACCACAAATACAAGCTATTAATTCCTCATAAAACTCCTGCATGTTATTTCAAGTTCGCAAGAAGAATTCCTTACATTCTTCTTGTAACTGGTATTTTTTATGCTAAATATAGAAATAAAAATACTATTAGTAAATAAGAGCTTTCAGGCAATAATATTGTTTATTGTACTTTACATTACCTGAGTAATTTCTACTTGAGAATCTTGATATTGTAAACTTTTCAAACCTTACGAACCTTATAATTTTTCTTCATTAGTAATCAGTATCGATTTTGCATTTTTGATCTCTAATACTAGGTTTAAGATTTGTGAATGATTTGCTAACCATATTGCAGCTTCAAATTCATTGCTCATATGTTAAAACTGTGTCAGTATTTGTGATAGTATTTCATCATCATCACCTATTAATTTAGATTCAACAATATATAAATATATGTGAAAAATAACCTATAATAATGATATATACTATATCCTTCAGTTTCCTCACCATCACTACTGTTACTTAGTATAGTAAAGATGTTATCTTTTAGAGTAGTGGTAGCGGTTTTTGTCTTTTTCGTAGAAGGAACTAGAGTATCACTTATGATTAAACTTTTCACTTTCTCGCTACCTATTTCAGTAGATACTATTTCAGTGGGTCCTCTTTCAATGAATTCTTTTTCAATGGATTCTTCTTCAGTATCTGCTTATTCATTATTTTGTTTGCATTTTTTCATCTTTTTCGTAAATGTGGTACTGATATCTTTTAGATTATTTAAAAAATCTTTAAACGGAATATTATAATATTAGTAATTATTAAAAATAACCAAGTCATATAATATATTTTATGTACCTTTACTCATAGTAGATCCTTTTCTCATAGTAGATCATGTTTGACATTTTTGATTACTGGTAGATTGCATGTCTTCAGATACTTTCAATATAATAAAATGTTTATTAAATAAAATAATAATATATTTAAAGAATTTATATTTTCAGTTGCTTACTCACAATTTTCTTTTTTTTATCTTGTTACCAATAGAAGATTAAGTATTATGATTATATTTAGTGAATAATAAAGAAAGTTTTAAAATTTTGTCGAACAAGTTTTTTAAAGTTTTATGGGAAAGTTTGTATTTAACAAAGCGATCAAAATCAAACTTTTATTTTGTTTATATATTAAAATGTATTTTTAATCATAATTTGATTCAATAATAATAACTAATTTATATCAATTAATTAATCAATCAAAACAATCATATGAATAGGAATGGGATGACTCTATCAGTTCCATTCTGATTTTGTGAGTCAAAGTGAGTTAAACTGATCAAGCGGCTCTGGATAACTGATTCTGAGTAACACTTAGAGCCAAACTGACTGAGTCAACTCTGATAAATTTAAACTAATTTAAATAAATTAAAATAAATTAATAAATATAAAATTAAAAATTTAAAATTATATAAACTAGATCAAGATCATTATTCAAATTATTGTTTAGATAATTAATTAATATATGATTGATGCAATTTTAATTATAAAATTGAATAAAGTATACTTGGTTTAGGCTATTAATTATATCGCATTAGCAGAAATATCATGTTCTACAAAAAATAATGTATATTAGAAATGCTTGTGTTAATATAAAATTTTTTTATATTTAATATACAGTAGCGGTCATAAGTATCTGACTGCCTCTAACTCTAGCTACAAGTAAGTAAATTCAAAAATTTTTTTTTTTATTTAAAAAATACATAACCAACTAACTAAAATTAATACATTG